AATGAAAAATGCAAAATTTTTAGCTTCAATCATTCAGCTTTAATTGTATTGATTAACATGATGTTGTAAAATAATTAACTCATGTGCTTTTAATGTAAATTACATGTTGAACAAGCTTAAAGTTAAGGTGAAAACGAGGCCAAACAGAGTTGCATGTGATAACAATTTAATTTACATAACCAGTGTCATCATTTTTTGCCTTGACACAACTACTAATGTTGATTAATTAACAATTATCGTACATAATACTTGACAAGGCAAAACAACAATAAGCGAGAAAAAAAAGAGAAGAAAAAAAAGTTATCAAAAATATTCTTCATTTCATTTACAGACACTTGATTCAGATTGACTGGGAGTGATAACAGTTTTAAGTGTGAATCCATGATATTAATAACATTTATTATCAACAATGAATCACTTCAACTGTAACCTTACATTTCAATTATTATGGTTATGTGAATCTTTGAACAGTACAACAAAAGTATAACTTTATCATTAGCCAATATCATTAACATAATCATTCCCAGTTTCATCTCAAGTTTCCAACGATGAACCACTAACTCAATCATTCCTCAGAATTCTTAATCATGATAATCAAGTGCTAATGAGAATTGGAAGAAAAAAAAGTTGAAGAAAAAGTCGAGAAAATGTTTGACCATTAAAACTGGTTCAATTGATTATACAATTGTTAACACAATTTTCATGGAAACTAAAAGTTGAATGTTTCGTTAACAGAAACTTGTTTGATAACATGAAGTGAAAAGAAGAAGAAGAAAAGGAGAAAAAAGGGAAAAAATCAATAAAAATATTTTTCTTGTGAGTTAACTCAATATATAGAAATGAAATGAATAGAAACAGATTGAAATTGATTTTGTCCCGTTTCAAGTGAAATTAAATGAAAAGAAAAGCAAGGTTTAAATAAGAGGAAACTTTGTATCAATAACTGGCAAAACATGATCAACATCATGACCAATAACTGTTGAAACAAATGCTCAACCAAAATGAAAACAACTTTTGTTTTAAGTTGAACATTTGGATTCTGGCATTTGAAAGAGAAGAGGAAAAAAAACCAGGAAAAATGTTATTTCAATTTGGCTTGTTAGTCTGTCAATGAAATCTCATTTTCATTTCATTTTCTTTACCCTTTCCACTCGTCTTCAAACCTTTATTAGATATATTTCAATAACATTTTCATTCACCAGTCAATTTGATTAAGATTATTGATGCTTTTCATCTTTCATTTACCTTTTGCATTTGATTAACCGCAAAGTTTAATCAAACCTTCCAAATTAGATTCACCTTTCAACCATTTCTCCATAATTTCATTTTCATTTTCAAATTTTCACCCAAATTCCGATTCTCAACCTTCACGATTCTTTCGTGAACTGCTCAAATTTTTCACCAGAATTCAGAGCTTCAATTTTCTCGAAATGAGCTTCGAAATGCTTCTAAACATAATTGCGATTGGACAATGTTGACTAAAGAAAATTTGATTTTTGGAAAATTCTGAAATTCGTTTTTTGATTCAAACTTTTCTGTTCCTTCAGAATCATGTTCTTGTTACTCGACTTCTGAGCTTGTGAAGCTAATCAACTTGGATTTACAGAATGTGATTTTGATTAAAACTTGAAATGTCTTTGAGTTTGATTGACTGAATAACTTGCTGTTTACGGCTATAATCATTAGCCAATTTGAATCTTTTCTAATCTGATAAAAAAAAGTTCTGCTCTAAAAATCTAATTAATAGATGAAGCAGACTCTTATTGGGTTCAAGTATTTGACTATTAATTAGTTAATGTTTAAATTGTCAGATGAGTTGTGAAAGAAAACAAAAAACAAATGTCTGCAAATTGGGTAAAAGTAAAAGCTTAACAGGATCAAAGAAGCTTTAGACATCACAATTTGGCGTTTTTTTCCCTCAAAAAATGTGTCCATTTTTAATTAATTGTCACAGAAAAATTGACACAAAATGATAATCAAAGTAACCAGAGGTTTAAACTATCAAATCGATGACAATAAACGACATCTTTATCCTTTTATCTTGATTATAAGATGAGTTTAGTCAGCAAAAGTTATCACTATTTCAATCAATAGACAATTTGGGTTCATCTCTGGTCCATCTCTCCAAAATGGGTTAAACTCAACCCAAAACCCAAATCGATGTAAACATAAATCATTTTCAATTTTCCATCCACATTAGAACCAAACCAAATCAATTCCAATAAACAATTAACTTTACACTTCTCTTGTAAATCTTATCTTGTGACAACCAAAATGCATTAACTTGCTTCAACAGTCAGAAACAAACATGAAAAATTCAATCTTACAACATGTAAAGTCAAGCTTGAAATGTTCATTTTTAAAACATATTTTCACCATTTTGAGCAAAAATATGAACATTTGAATAAACTGACGACAGTAAACCAGGAAACAGTTTAAACAATTAGCTAAGTAAACGAGCAAAATTATCACTTTTATCAACATTGTTAGATAACATTGTGTTCATTTGCAACAATATGTTGTTGTAATCATGAAGGAGAGGCAAAAAAAAAGAGTTGAATGATAAAAATAATGATGATGATGATGATTAAAAGGATGGTTAAAAATGGCGAGGGAAAAGAGGCTTTTCTCGTTTCAAGCTTGTGGGCAAATTTTGTTATAAAATGTTTAACGAATGAAAAGAGGAAGCAAAAAATTGTGAAGATGAGCTCATTATTATGGATTACTTGATAACAATAACAAGCAGCAACTGGGAGTGCAAAAGTATCCATGATAACCTCAACTGTAATCCTCTTCATATTTTCCCTTCTTTCTTCTTCTTCTTCCCTCATTCGCCATCTTCATCATCACAGTTTCATTCATCCTTTTGAGGTGTTAATAGGTTAAAGGTCAATTGATATTTAACCAAGAATAAAATCAACTAACAACTTATTATATTTCTCTCATCTTTTCCATTCCCTGTTTTACTTGAGTTACATCTTTTCGCTCTGACTTAATACAGATAATGAATCTTAAGAGATTACAGTTTGATCATGCCAACTGAGTTGTTCATCTTGAACAAAAATTCAACCTTTTCTCATCTGGAAAAGGAAGAAAAAAGAGAAAAAAATGTTTTCTTTTAAGCGGTTTGCTTTTAAATACAAGTCAAAATGAAATTCAATTTTGTATCATGAAAAGGTGTTAGTCAAAGCACAAAGTTTTGAGATTATTTTCAGTTTTCTTAACTATTATTTCCAATTTACTAGACTGAAAGATTTCAGGTAAACATTGTGATACTTGAATTTCATGCAAATTGATTGATTGAAAGAACAGGTTAAAAGGGTAAAAATTTGAGAAAAGAAGGAAAAAATTGAGTCTTTTCCTTCCTTCCTTAGCCTTTTGTCTCATTTAGATTAATTGGTTGAACAAAAGGCAAATTATTCAATTTATGATGTTCATTGAGATTGATGATCAAGTTTGCCAATAAAAGATCTTTCAGATTGAAAAATGGACAAAACTCGAGTCGAAATTTACGATTTCATTATTTCGTCTCTCATGGTAATTCAATTTTAATTGACACTTGAAGTTGCGCTTTTTGCTTATATTACAAAGGTGGAAACATTGAGTCTCAAGTAACTGTTCAATTCAACCCTTGAAAATGTTGCATCAAATTGAGTGAATAATTTTAATCTTAAATTTGATTATTTCAAGGGAAAAGCAACTCATTAACCGGGTTACCTTTGATTAAGTTTTAGGGATAAAGTTAATTAAAAGATGAGGATAAAAGTAAATAGATATTGTTGAACATTGAACCATGAATGAGATGACAAAAGAAGCTTCAATTGCTCTGGAAAAAGGTTGAATGTTTGATTAACCCAAAAACTGGTTAATCACTTGTGAAAGGCTAAAAAGTTGACTTTAAATTTTCCCTTGAAATCAACCAACAATTTCCCTGCAAACAATGAAAATGAAAATGATTCCAAGAAATTTGGAGAAAATAATTTCATGACAATTCCAGGGAAACTCAACGATTCCAAACATGATTACCGTTTCCATTGATTAATTTAAAGGAAAATGTTTTTTTAGGTTAAGTTAATAATGTTAGTTAGTTCACTGTTTACCAATTTAAATGTCTAATCTTTAATTGAAATCTTGCAAAGAGTTGAACAAGAAAAAAGTGACTTTTTATGCAAAATTAATCTTATTAAAAGGCTCATCATTATGATTAATTTGTTTGGTTGAAATGTAATTCATTCAGAAATGGAAGAAATTCAAATTGGAAATTCAATTTTTTCTCTGATCATTGTTTTTAAACCTTTACCCTGACGAGGAAGAATAGAAGAGAATGAATTCATTGAACTCATCAATCATGAGAAGATAGGAATAAACTGATCAACAATGGAAAGTGAAATGTGGGAAAATCCATCAATGATTAACAATTAGTTAACCAAGGAAAAGGCTAATGATTTTGTCATTCATTACCAACAATTGATTGTTGAAATGAAACAAAATTTAAAGCAGATAATCTGCTAAATTGAATAGAGTTGGATGAAGAAGCAAAATGAATATTCCAGAGTTTAGAATGAAATTGTTATCGTGTTTGAATAGGAAAAAAAGGTAAATCAATAAACATGATTAGGTTCAATTGATGAGCTACAAAAGTATCTTTAATGATATTTTCATTTTCAACACACAATTGATACAGAATTGTATTTACATGGAAATATTAACATTACTTTTTATCATAATTTTTTCTTCTTCTCCATTTTTTTGCCTCATTCCCTTCATCTTAATGTTATTGGATATACCTCGGAATATCCCAAAAGACTTTTGATAAATAAATGTTTTAGCAATAACGATAATAATGGGTAATAATGATGATGATGATTGTAATCAAACCTTGTAAATATTATCCTATTTATCAATGAATATTATTTGATTATTGTTCTATTAAATGCTGGTAATAACCATTTTTCTGGTTAAATCCTTTTTTTCCCTTCTTTAACCTTTTTTTGAACCAGTTTTTTCCTCAACGAGTTGGTTAAATGTTTGGAGGAACCTTCACGATTAGGATTGTTGTTTAAACGTTATGAGAGACGGTTAAACATGTACGTTGTCTATTGTCAAAATAAATCCAAATCGGAATACATTGTTTCAGAATATATCGACACTTATTTTGAGGTAAGTTTATCATTTTGCTATTCAATATTATTCATGAGAATTGGGTAAAAATGTTTTACAAATACCATTCAAGATCATCACTAAGCCACTTATGGATTATCTTGCAAAGTAAACCATTCATTGACTTGATAGACATGGAAAATTTATTCAATTAGACTTCTGCATTTGGGACTGAAAAATATTCCTCAAATAACTTCAATTGGAGGCCAGAATGCATTTTAAATTAGAAGTGATTTTTGGTCTTTTTGTTTTTGTCTGCAGCAATGGAAAGATTCATTTATGAAAATAACATTTTTTAGTCGCTTAGCTATTCCAGACTCGATCCGAGATAATGTTCACGAGTTAAAGCTGGAATATTAATATTTAATGAAATTTTCGCCTTCTATCGACTCTTGATTTAGAGTCAACTACTGTCAGTCATTCATATGATAGTCACTTTTATGCAGCAAAACAATCGCTTGTAGTGATGAACCAAATTGATTGATTTGCATTGAAAGAGAGTTTTATTTCTGGTTCGATTCTGGTTTGTTTTGGGTATGATTTGAGTAATCAGTCAGTCTCAAGTAAATATACTTTTATTATTTGATTTTGCGATATTTTCTTCCTTTCACTGTGATTGATCCAGATCCAGACATAGTAACAGATTATGTTTGCTTTAGATTGTCGATAACTCGTTAACAAGTTGAATAAGTGGTTCATTGAGTACCAAAGCTACATAATAGCAAGTTGTTCAATTTTTTCACCTTTGAATAGATTTTCCAGGTTAATTGAAGTTGATTTCAATTGTGGCTCAAGTTGAAACTCGAAAAATTAGGCACAAATAAAGCGTTTTAAACGTGTTTAAGCGTTAAAAGCAGTTTTCCCAGTTTTAACAAGCAAACCCTTTTAACAGCTTCAACTTCAACCTAACAAGTCTCACTTGTCTGCACAACCAGACAGACAAAGAGTCGCCTAAAAAAAGCTTAACGTCTGAAGGAAAACATTACTTGATACTAATTTAGTATTTATAATAATCTCAATAAGATTACAATTAAAGGCCAACAACGACTCTATTCAACAGTAAACTCGATTTACTCATTTTCATTAATCTCAACATTGAAATTAACATTAGCCAACTCTCTTCATCTTCCAGTTTATCATGCAATGTTAATATTTTTCCTCTTCTTCTTCTTCCCTAACAACTCTTGCGATATTCCCAAGTCTCCATTTCACTCTGAATTTTGTGTCATGAAATGATCATCTTGAAGCCTTTTTTACGCCTTCATCCAATTTTCGGATAATTTCATCAATACAATCTAAAAAGCAAACTCATTTTTACAGTTTACTGTTTCCTTTGCTGGCTCTTTACTTCTTTTACTGAATCTTAATAAGAGATGAAATTCCCATCAGATTTATTGTCTCTTTCAGTATCTTATCAGTTTACTGTTTATCCCTCATGTCGCACACTCATCATCATGAGTTTCAAAGTTTCGTCTCTTATCTGGTTTCAGAACATTTCCATGAACAGAAGAAGAGAAGAAGAGGTTAGAAGAAACTTTACGCATGATTCATTTGAAACTGAATCTTTTATTCATTTAGTCTTTACCATTCAGTTCATCATCATCATCATCATCATTCCAAAGAAGATATTCAGACAGAGAAAATTCCTTTTTTTCACCATACTTTGTTTTCTTCTTTTCATTTCTTTTTTTCGCCATTCTTCCATTTATTAATAAAAATATCTTCCAATGTTGAGTAAACTTGAAGTAATGCAATAGAGACAAAAATGAAATGATAAATCCTTTTTAATCAAACATTTTTCAGGGTAAAAAAGGAAAACGTTCAATCAGTTTATTCCTTTTGTTATTCAAAATTTCCTTCTAATCAATTCATTTAAATTATTCAACTTGTTTCAAGTTCTGAGCAAGTTCCATTCCCTGTCATTTCTCAGATGATAATAAACACATAAAATTGAGAATCGCAATCAGTCGCATTATTAGTAAACTTATGTTTACCTTTTTCATGTCTCAACATCTTTAATGCCCTTTTCAGGTTAAATTATTTACTTTCATTGACTTCAATTAGTTTGCTGAAAGCAATGGATTCTCATCAAATGAAACAGAAATTTGATATTAATTCATGCAATAATCCATTTTATCGATCAACAGAATTCCCTGAATCTATCAAATTTTATCTCTTTACTCGAGCCATTTTGTTTTCAATTTTGTTTCCCTCATGAAAATTGTTTTGCTTTTAAAATTTTAAATCATAAATAAAATATCCTTTTGCTAAAATTGATTACGTTTTAAACTTTCAAGTCTTCAGATTTCACTCACCAATTGATTTCAAATTCAACTTTAAAAATGATTTAAAAGTTCCATCGATATTCGAGACTCAAATATTTAACTTTCACCCAGAATTTCAGGCAATATTCCCGGGTTGAGTCCAGCATTAAATAACATTTCAATCCATCAATAAGTACAATGTAATGTGTAAATGCCCTTTGCGTTGCAGCCTTTAACATGAAAATCTTTATCTTGGGTTACTTCAAATGGAATGCAATTTTAGGTTTCGATTTTTTCCTTTCAAATTGTTCGCATTTCGATTTTGTTGAGTTAATGAAATGGAAACCAGAATTTCGAGACTTTGAAGGTCAGGAAGAGACCAACGACCATCAAGTATTCAATCTGTTGATGGACTAATAAATCAATACAGAAAAGTGAAGCTTCTCCATTGACAGAGAAAAATCAATCGAACCTTTTCTTTGCTTTTTTGTTTAAAATCGCACAGTTGGTCCAAAAGTCGATGTTCAATGATCAGTCGGAAGAGATGGGTGAAAATATCTGAGAAACTCGAAGAAAAATATTAATCAGTAAAAATTGAATGTTTGATCAAAAACATCATCATTAGTCTGTCAATTAATTCACTTTAAAAATCATTTTCATTGGGAAATTTGAGACTCTGAAGAGTTTGAAAATTTGACTTTTTTGGGACAAAATGTGACAAAATGATTTCAGGTTTGCAAATTAAATTATAGACTAAAGATTTTTACCTTTTCTTCTTGTTTTAGGAATAAATTGTCAAAATTAACCTTTTTATTACTGCATTTGAACCTTACTGTTGGTTGACAATTTTGAGGTGAAAAAATCGATTCTCAAATTTAATTTAATTTCACATTTTGTTTTCTGGTTAAATGGAAATGCATTTGAATCTTTTGTTGTTTACCAATGAAAATAACCAGTTTTAGCCTGAAGCAAATCATCTCAACAATTTATCATGATAATGAAAGGTGATGATGAGTCTATTAATGAAAAGGTGCCATTTGAGCAACTTGAAAATTTACTGTTTTCCCGTAATAAAAACATAATTTTGATTATTGTTAGAAGTAAAAATTGATAACATAATAGAGTCTGAAGTGAATTGCAAGGTAAATTAAGAGTAATGAGGAGAGAAGAAGCGAAATGTAATAACTCTTTTTTTCCTTCTTCTTCCTCTCATCATGAAGAAGCTGAGAAAAAAAAGAGTTGATGAATGAAGAGTGAAAAAAATGAATAAATCAATGATTTAAACTCACGTAATTGTCAATGATGAAGTTTAACCCTTGAAATGGTGAAAAGGTTTAAATTGTCAAAACGGAAATGAAAAATATTTTTCACTTTTTCTGTTTGATGAGCAATTGAAGGTGAAAAATTGCCATGAAAATGATAATGAATCTGATTTATATTGAATGATGTTTCCAGATTGGAAATGAAGTTGAAGAGATAAATTCAATTTTCATCTTTGATTGCTGATTGTAAGGCAATATTTTGATTGCAAATGAAAATCAAATTCAATGTATTAATGACAGGAATTGACCATGAATCTGGACAATCTGGAGTTGGCCAGAAATGAGAACATTTTTTGGAAAAGAAAAAAGGAAAAATTCCTTTTCCACTCAATTCCAATCATGGTTATCATGATGATTGGATATTGTCTATGATTGAACCTTTTTTTTGTTTTTCTTTTCCTCTTTTTTCTTCTTGAAATGTTCAACTTTGTTCCCTTTACTACCTGTAATTGGATGAATAAGATTGTCGAGAAATGAAAGATGATAATGATGATGAAGGTGAAGAAGAAGAAGAATGAATGAAAATAAGAAGATGATGAAAAGGAGAAAACAATTCAGAACTGACATGAATCCTCTTTGAATCCTCAAGATGTCAGAATGCTTATAGCAAAAGTTAATGGAAAAAAAAGTTCTGTCAAAACAGATCGATATATAATATCATACGAATATATATCTTCAGACTTGTTTGTAGAACCACGATTCTTACCAAGTTAATATTATACCTTTGCTTGTATTTTTTGCAGTCTTTCAACTCTATTCTTTCATCCTTCATCATCATCATTTTGTTTTTTCCCTCTTCGCCATCTCTACTGTTGATCTTCATGATCGATAAATGAATTGGGAGAAGCTTTTGAGTCCAAGTTTACAAGTTAACTGAATGTTACTTGTTGTTGCTCACATTGTTACTCTTGCTTCTTGTTATTGCATTCAATGCAAGTAAACATAATCAACATTCAATTGAGAATCAAATTTTTTCTTCTCAACTCTCTTCATCTTCAGCTTCATCTTCATCTTTTCCTTTCAATTCATTTCTCTTCATTGATTCAATTTCATCTCATTTCTGGCATCATCATTTATTTAGGATAATATTTAGCTTCAATACAGAGACTAACAGTTTCAAGATTACTTTTGCTCACTTCATTTCAACTGTTTTTGACAACACTTTATTATCATATTCAGCAACATCTTATTCACAATCTTATTCACCCTCTAATTCACTAACATCTACTTTACCATCATCTTGCTTATTATCATCATGTTGTATAGTGATCATCATCATAATCTTTATCATGGAAGAAACTTTGCAACCTTTGAGTCTATTGCTTGCTTATCATTTATTATTTGTCACTTTTTGTCTTGCTAACAAAATTGGTTCCACTGTTTTCTGGTTCACGGAATAGACAGTTAAGGCTATCTCACATTTTTCCTCTGTTGATTGTTATGACTTCATTTTTACTCACAACTCACACTGTCAGTTTCATGATTAACTTTTTTTTAACCACATGGATAACATTTAATCTGCAGTTATTAAGTAATATCCAGTTTTGTTCATCAAAATCTCTCGTCACAATCTTGCTTTCTCGTTCCATTTTGGATTCCATATTCAACTTTTTGATTACATTTCTAGCCACTTTTAAGCTCCTTCACTTCATTTTATTGCAATTTTGATTCGCCTTCATTTGGATGCTTCAATTGATTTGATACAACTGGTTAAAATAGAGCTTGATTAACCCAAAAATTTGTCTCCACAAGTCTTCAAGATTCTCCGATAGTTCCATATGTAACATCCAATCTCACAGGATAAGCTTTTCTAGATTGGCTCCACATTAGTAGAATATTTGATTGAATAATTTACCATTACTATGGATAAATTTATTAGAAATAAGACTTCAGGTTATGTTAGAGATCTCAGGCTTAGTCCATGTTGAAGTAGAAGCAAATATTTGAGTAAACATATCAATAATTCACATTGATTAACCATGTAACCATCAATTAGCTTATTATAATCAGGACAAGTAAGTTAATTAGTAAAATAATTGATAAATTAAGAAGGTACAAAAGTAGGTTCCAATGGAAACACCCAATTGGTGTAATTACAAGTTCTTCACTTAATAATGTGAATAACCAATTTGAACACATCTCATTAAGTGTTTAGTTTAAAAATCTGTAACACAATTAAATATACAAAAGTGTCTGATAATAATTAATAAATTAAGGAAAACAAATGCAAAATTTAGTAAAATCAAGACAATAACAACAATTGAGGGGACGTTACATAATTAATCCTTTGAAGATCTACTCAAACAGTAATCGATATCTTTTGGATCATTTTACTTTTTTTACAAATTGTAATATAAATTGTGCAATTTAAAGTAGCAAACATTTAACTAGTATAATAAATGGGAATTTCCATCAGATAATTTAATTTCCTAGTCATTCTGAGCATTAGAATCTTCAATTTAAGTAGTAACTTACATTATCATAATCATCAATCAAGGCCGGGATCCAATCCTAATAAATTCAATCTCTTACAATGTTGGATCGCATGTTTCTGTATCAGCCATTCACACCCAAACATGTCGAAACACAAAGCTTTCAATCAAAATATTAATAAGTTTTCACTCCCAAGTTGCTCTTGAGAACTAGAAAAAAAGATATAACAACCAAGTCAAAAATGGTAACACTTGATTTCACTCCAAACCTGATTTAACAGACAGCAATTTGTTAATCTGTTTTCTTGTCTCTTTATTTTTCTCCTATAGGAAGTACGGATTAAATTGGGCCATAAACTTCAACTACCTGATTTACTCATTAAACCTGTTCAACGAATTATGAAATACCAATTGTTGCTGAATGATATTCTGAAGCACACCGAGAAAGCCGCTTTAATCAATGAATTGGATAATTTGAGACGAGCTGTTCAAATTATGCATGTTGTACCCAAAACAGCCAATGATATGATGAATGTTAGCCGTTTACAAGGATTTGATGGTAAAATTACTGCTCAAGGAAAGCTCTTGTTACAAGGTATTCTCAATGTGGCCGATACCCGTGAACCTATTACAGCCTCACTGGTTTCATCGATTAAACTCAGAGAACGCCAAGTTTTCCTGTTTGAACAAATAATCATTTTCAGTGAGATACTTGGTGCCAAAACTCAATTTAGCCAGCCAAGCTATATTTACAAGGCTCATCTTCAGGTTAATAAGATGTCACTCACCGAGAAATCAGCCGATGATGATGAATCCAAATTTATATTGAAATCAAAAGATCCTCAACAAGAGGGACTCGCCTTTGTGATACAAGCAACTGATCCCGATGAAAGATGTGAATGGGTTCGCAATATTCAAGCTATTCTGGAAACTCAATTGGACTTCTTAAGAGCCCTTCAGTCACCAATTGCTTATCAAAAGGAATTAACCAAAGAAGTGTAATGTTTATCATTATTATTTACTATTATTACTATTACTATTTGCCATTTTATCTTTGGCAAACCATTTCGTTTCTTTTTCCTCCACATTATTCCTCCTTTAACCCTCCATCAACTGTTAATACTACTTGCTATTAATATTTATACTTTGATCAATATACTAACCCAAATATTATCCAATTTAATTAATTCAGTGAACGTTTGCTTTGTTGCAGATAAACAGCATCCAACTTAACTTTCCCCTGTTGTTGTTATTTTTTTGTCTTTTTGCTTACCTTTCCAATCAATTATTGATCCACTCTTATTGAAGTTTGACTTTACAGTAATTTAATTTTCTTCCGTTAGATTGTTAATAGGTTTAATTGTAGGCTTTAAATCAAGAGTGAACAATAAAAGCATCAAGCAAGCAAAAAGACGATTTTGACTCTTGATAATTCATAATTGTCTTGACTTGTTAAGATCTCTGTTTGAGTTCATTACATTTGAAATGAAATGAACCCAAGAAGCAAAAAACTGATGATGATGAATGCTAAGGAAAGAAAATTTAATTTTATTATTATATTTCTGTTCGAGTTAATATTATTTCTATTACAACTTGTTCCTCTTCAGCTTCACATTATCATCAACATTACTATTATTATCAAGTTGAACAATATTATCTGATTCAACAATGTAAACATAATATATTTGAGCATAAAGGCAGGAAACAAAAGAAATAAGATGATGAAGAAGACGATGAAGATGAAAATAAAAATGAATTGCAAGGAAAATGCTGATAAAGCAAATTATATAAATACATACAACTCCAAGAGGTTGAAATATAATATAATAATAAAATTAACAAAAGGACTTATTGTAAATAATTCATATTACTTATCGTTATTTAGTTAGTCAAGCTAACACAACAAATGATTTGTTAATTTTCACTTTAACAGTTAACAAAAAGTACTGTTCTTTGCCGTCAATTGGATCCTTTTACGACAATTCAAGACAAATCAATTTTTAGTTTGATTAATGTCTAAAAGAGCTTTTCATTCACAAGTTTAATACACAATATTTTTTTTCCTCGTTTCAACAAAGGTTAAGGTAAATATTGAGGTTAAGACTTTTATTCAGTTTAATTCATTGAAAGGTTTAAGGTTAAACATCAATTTGCCATAGAATCTTGAAATCTTATACAATTCTTTCAATCAAATTGGAAAACACTTTGCATCAAATTAATCAAATTTAGATTCACTCTGTCTCTACAAGAATTAATTGTCAGCTTGTTTAGCTTGAATCAGATCAATTTCATTCCTTGAGTTACATTTGGATGCTGCCATCTCTGATTGATTAAGCTTCATTAACAAGGGTCACTTTATTAACACAAGATGGGGTTAACTTGGATTTCAGCTTTCAGATCAGCTGATGATTTTTTGATTAGTGTTACAAATTTTTCACGATCTTTGACCTTAACTGTGAACTCGATTGTAACTTTACTGAACGTATTATTTAGCCAGTATCCCTTGCCTTGTGAAAAGACATTTTTTATTTGCATGACTAAATTTTACTAAATGAAATGTACTAACTCGAAACATTGCTCTTCTTTTCTTTCTTTTTTTCTATCCAATGCTGCAATTGACGCTTTGTTCATCATAATACTCTAACAATTATAAATGGCACTTGTGATTTGTCTAACCAGTTCTGCGCCAGAATTGGGTTCACTTTGGAATCCATGTTTACGTAAAACCTTTTCACATCCAGCCTCAGCTCACAGACAGCGAAAAGAATCAAGCTCAAAAGATATTTTACCCAATATAGCCGGTGTTAACTCGACAACAAATATAACCGCCAATTGGTCCTCCAATTTACTAAGTACCCTTAATGTATCCTCGTCTCCATCCTCAGCCTCAATTTCACCATCTTCTTCCTCTTCCCCATCACCAGCTCCTTGTCCTCTAGTGTCTTCCAAGTCTCTCAAAAATCCTAAAGGCATGACTTTCAGTAAACGCATTAGCCGAGACAAGAAACTTTCCTCGCCCGTTCTTGGTCTCTCATCACGACTAACCTCATCACCAGCCTCACCCAAATCTTATCAAGACGAAAATAGTGGTAGTAGTAGTAGTATATGGAAAAGATCATCAGTCCCATTAATATCATCAATTCCATCAACATTAACATCGTCCATTTCACCAGCGACTTTATATTCATCAACTGCAACAACAGCTCTTTCATCAACCACAGGCCAATCGGAAACATCACAAGAATCAAAATTGAATCCATCATCGTCCTCTCCATCAACTCCAACCTCAAATGAACCCACAACACCGTCAACAACTCGAAGTAATAGTAAACGCCATTTTCTAGAAAGTTTTCGCAACCCATTACGATCTCGCCATGCTTCTTCCAGTCAACGAAGTAAAAATAAATCAAGTAATAATAGCACTTGTGATGCAACAAGTATGTCACCATCACCATCATCATCAGCAACATTACCAAATAACTTAACTGTGAGTTTAAGTTTGGATGGTTCATCGCCACCCAAAAGTGATTCAGCATCAGGTGTACCAACAAAAGTGACCACAACAACCTTTCCTCATGATAATGATTTAGACTCGGGTGGATTGAATAGACGTTGGTCCGAATCTGAAGCCTTTAGACTTCGCTTTTCACGAAAATTATCCCCTTTAGGACTGAAAGGTGCCAAAAGCAACACTGGTAACAATAACAACAATAATACCAATATTGTTGAGGAAGAACCAAGTAATAAGAGTTGAATTGGCATTCAAATTTCTGTTTTTTAGCCGCTATTGATTATAAACTTTTTTATAATAAAAATGGTAATTTTGGTGACGCTTAAGATCACAACCTGAACAAAACTGTCAAACGTTGACAAAATTGTACACAATTATGGAAGCCATCTTTTTCTTTCTCTCTCTCTCTCTCTTTCATCATTTCATTGCCTGATTGATTGAGCTTGTAATTATAATTGTTTTGTTTGATATCATTTTGTGCTGTTTTAATATCTGTGCCTCAAAACCAAATATTGGATAAATCGTCTTAACCATTGACGTTGTTTTCATCTTTTCCCCATTCATTTTTTGGATCATCTTTATCATTCTACTTTCTTTAACAAATATGAGAACCATATTTGAGTGGAAAAATTAATTACTGATTAAAATTTAATAAACTGATTATATTAATAATTAAAGCCAATTAAATGTCCTCCTGTGACCTTAAATAAATTTAACAGATTGCAACCTTTGAGTCTCATGAAAAAAAGATATCGCATATAAATATTGTTGAATGATTAATAATAAAAAGAAACAAATACTATTACTATTGGAAATTATTAGTCTTATCAAATTTTATTCCTTCATTCCTATTCTTTCTCATATTCAATTCTGAAAAGCTTCATGTTAGTCAATATTGTCAGACAAACCGTAAGAATCTGAATACGCAAGTTTAAGAACAAATAATAATTTATTGATTATCCTCACTGGAACGGTACATAATTGATATCGTCATGATATATTGACGAGACATTAGAGCTAAAATATCATTAATTAACTACAATTTACTTATTCGTTTCACAAAACTTGATACATTTTTACCTTAAATTGCTACAAAACTAGAAATGAAAACCAGAATTGACTATAATGAGAGTCAACAGATGGCAGTACAAAACTACTGTGAATTTGAATGAATTTATTTTTGGCTTTACAATTTAAAATAATAATTCATTGCATTAAAGTGAAACTAATTGTTGCCTTTTCTGTTTCAACTGCACTTACAAGATAAATCAATGCTTGACCCTTTTATAATCATCTTTAAGTGTTTCTTGTTTGAACCTTAAAAATTACAATTCAATGAATAAATTTATCCTTTTTTAAGGTCTAAAGTAGTAAAAAATTAAAATTAATAAATCACACGAAATTGAGGTTTTTAATGTAAAACTAAGAACCCATTTAAAGTGGCTATTTAAATTATTTGAGAAGCGAAATGGTGTAAATAATTAATTTCAAATGTTCGCTTTACAATGAAATGGTTGTAGTTAGAGTTAATCAAGTAAACCATTTAAATAAAAGTCACATTCGTTAAATAAATCAAATTACTATTAGCCAAGATTCAAGTAAAGGGCATAAAAAGGTTAACCAGAAAAAGGCAATTAAGAGGCAAAAATTATTGAAAATGTAAGGTTTTCAAATTGAGATGATTTAACTGATACAGAGATGTTTCCATAATTAACACACAATTCAAGTAATCTTTTTGTTAACTCTAATTTTAAATCAATCTGTTGAAACAATCTGAATTACCTTTTAACTTACACTTTTACAATTTAGAAACTGGACAATCGAAAGATAAAAGCTAACAAAAACAATCGACATTTTAAGGCCCAAAAAAGAGGAGAAATCCTAAAAATAGATAAATGATTATCAAATATCATTATTTGATTGTTTCTTATTTAATCATGTTTGCTGGTTCTCAATGAAAATTACCTTTTTGTATCAACTAAATCAACTGAATCAAAGTGAATCAAACTGAGAGAGTTAAGGATAAGACTAATAACAACAAACGTAAAGGTCAATGTCAGGCCAACATTTTGAGAATCATAATGATAATCATCATCACCTTCGTCTTCATAATCTATCAAGTTCTGTATGGAGAGTTAACGGAATTTACTGCCCTTAAGGCAATATTTCAACCAATTTTTCTCTTTCTTTTTCTTCTTCATCACCACCATCAACATCACCATTTTCATCATCATCTTTCTACTTCTCCTTCTGACCTGAAGACGGATTTGAGCTTAAGGAAGGAGACGGGGTCAGGCTACAGGTAATACTTGTTTAAACCGGCAAACCTCATGTTACCATTCGTATCATCACTATTATTATATTACTATCAACTCCGAGAAGAAGCAACAGGTAACTTTGTTCATGCTTGACTCATGGTTGGCGAAGTGGCTTCAGTTGCTTGAAATTATTCATTTTTGTCCATAAAAACAACAATTTACTTTTCATTTTGTTATTTTTTGTTTGTTTGTTTCCCTTTTGTTTTGGATTCTCGTTTGCATCCCAATCTTTCCATTAATTTTTGGTAACTTTTTTATTGTGCGTTTCCCATGGTTGGTGTTTTCAATCTGTTGGTTAGATCCATTGGAAGTTCAATCTCGACTTGAAATTATTGGACACTTTCAACGGGACCCTTTGCAAATTGGTTAATCTCTTAATCTGTGATTTTAGGAGAGAAAATCAATTTTGCTTTATGTTTTTGTGGTTCTACGAGGAATAATAACGTTCATTTAAAATTAATCAACTTACCATCAAAGTCTTCCCATGATTTGGAACAGTTTATTTATCGTTTTGTTCATCTTCTTGCCAAATTTGTCTTCAACCAGCCAAGGTAAATATATTTTGTCCAACAAGACTTCTCGTTACCGCCAAACAACTTCACATTACAATTTTACGTTCCTTTTCATCCCAATCAATCATCTAAAATTGATTAATCTGTTTGAAGCGATGAAAATTCAATAACAATGAAAAAAACTACCAAATTTGTTTTATATCTTTTTGATTGTTTTGCTTCCCTCAAAATCTCAGCAACAGCTAACAATTTTCAGGATAAATAAGAGATTTGATGAAAATGGATTACTTAAAACATTATAAATCGATTTGGTAAACGTTTGATGAAATGCTAGTTCGAACTTTTGCTGTGTTAAAAGTTGAATATCAATATTACTGACATAATCAACCATTTAATAAGCTTTTAAATTGATTACAAGTCTTGCATTGAATCACAAACCATTTCCTATTAACTTATCGCATTCATCATCGGATGCTCAATAGTTCAAGCCTCAGGGTGATTTCAATTGAAGTTAATGAATCAGAAAATAGAATCAACTAATAATTTCAAGCAAAATTTCACCAGATCTCTTATCTTCCATTAATTGTTTAATAGCCAATTAACACTAGTAGAGTATGCCAGGAGAGGTAGATATTTATCCAAGTTGACCAATGGAAGGACCAGAGTACCAATGAAATTTGCCAGCATTATTCGTACTTTGAGTTAGAGATTTGTTCAAATATGTAAATCGAAGACGAGGCCAAAAATGTCAAAATGGTTTCCGTTTGCTTTTCAGTGATAAAATTAAATCATTCCTATCGACTGGTCATGATGATGATGATCTTGTTTTTCTGATGAAAATTGTTTTTCATCAGCATCTCCTTCATACCAACCTATCCTTTTAATCAGTTTATCTTGAGGCCATTTCTCAGGCCTCAATTTAAAGCATCTCCATCTTGTCCTGATTAAAGTCAATTCAAATTAGTCATTCATTGGGACAACCAAGATATAAAAGACCCAAATTGATCGGATCCGGACATTGTTAATTAGCGTTAATAATGACACGAGTGATTCAGATTTTTACGCATTTAGAAGAGTTGATTAGGTCAATGGAAATTCACTTGTATATCCAGTCTTTGTGGTGAAAATCATCAATCAACACTGAAAAGAAAGAAAAAAAAATGTTCACATTAATGATACAGTATCGATTAAATGATTAACTTGAAAAACAATCAATTAAACATTAGCATTTTTTTCAAGTAAAATGTAATATATCATGAATGCTATAAATGAAGAAGCAAAATGATTTATTAGTAAACCATTTTCGATCATTTCTTTAAAAAAAATGCTCGCTGCCATTTGTTCATTGTTGTTTTGCTATTATTACAGATATAATTAACAACCTAACCCTTTCAACAATTATCATCTATTACATTCAATGAATCAATGTTAATTACAGTATAAATATCATAATTGTAATTAATGTCATTAAATGTTTACAAACACAACAATTTAAGATGGTGAAAGAGTAAAATAATGTTGAAAAATTTCGCTATTTTCAACTTAATTCATCTTTATTGTAACTTTCTTGCAACCAATTTGAGTGCAAACATTTTATGTTTACCGTTGAACCAGGTCAAGTCCATCTTCACCATCAGTCCAATAGCATATTAAAGTCAATACATTTCATCATTAACTTGATCTTCATTCAGTAATGCAATAGCTTGAGGTTAAGCTTTCATTTGGATAGGCTTAGACGATGAATTAGTGAAGAGGAAGCCAAGATGATATTGATGATGAAGATGCTATTAGTGGAGAAGGTGGTCCATTTAAGGGAGGCTACGGGGCTCTAGATGATGGTCATATTTACAGTGAACAAGGGTAACAAACATCTCAACGGGAGCCAATCTTGCAAGATGATGGTTGTGATGACTTGCCCCTTCAATGTGAATTGATCATAAATTTGATTAACTAGGCTTTGAAAGTTGTAAATTTGGTTAAAAGATATTTAGGACAAATAATAATAATTCCTATCGTCATAGTAATTGTGATAATAAATGATGGTGATGATGACGATGATAATAGCAATCAGAATGATCATCAGGTAATGTTAACAGATTAATAGCCGAAGGACTATCTATTCTGTGAGAAGTTTATTCAGACTTTAGCTTCATCTTTATTCTGGATTCCTATCCATTTTTGGTACCAACTTTCAACGTGTTAATCACAACTGCTTGATCTTGTGACATGTGAATAAACATCACATGGCCATATATTTGATAAAGTTTCACAGCTTCTGGTTAAAATTAAATCAAACAATAATTAGTAAACAGAACAATTGATTTTTGAGTTTTATTTGTGGTTTTACCTGAAAAAAGTTGCTCCAAGTAAAGAGTTGTTGAATATTTGAACATATTTGGAAGCCAAATCCGGGTTTAATATTTCCCACTGAGAGAAGCACAGTTGAATAACGTTGTACTCGATTTAGATTAGTGTTGATTTAAATAAATGTATAACCAAAAAGACATCAAATTCATTAATTTAATTATCATTTTCACAAATAAATGAAAAATTTCACTAAAAATAGACGTTGTAAGTTTAATTTAACCCACGAACCAATGGTAACCATCAGTAACCGTTACTATGGATATCATTTATTCGTAATAGTTCATTTTTTTGCTTCAACAGACTTTTTAATTTCAACTATTTTTTATCCTAATAATTGAAGTATTTATTTCGTTTTAATTTAGTTATTCGATAGTTAATAAAATTCTTATCAACAGGAGAGTGCCTGAATCTAAATAGCTTCAACGTGATTCAATGAAACCCAAATGCGAAGAGAAAGTGTTCAACATTAAACTCTTTTACCAAGCAAAAGTATTTCGTTTCAAAATGAGTGTCATTACTTATTTGTGTAAAAGCAATGGTTAACTCAAATTTTCATCGAGACATTAAATTCCCATTCAAAGGACGTTTGATTGGTAAGAATAGGATTATTGCCGGTACAAGGTGAATAGCAAAATGTAGAACCAGAAAATGCCAATTTCTTGTTGATTCGCTACACCATTTACCTGTTCAACGTTTGATTGAAAATTTATCTGTCCAGTTTTATGCAACACGGAATTTGGCTTCTCATGTTTTTTCACGTAAAGATGCTATCAATATTTTTCGATGCTGATTAAAACATCTTTACCAGACAAAAGGTTCCTCTTGTCTACCAATGATTGAATCTGCAACTCAAATCTTATTTACAATCAAACTAATTCTCGTCAAAGATTGACATAAACTTGGCGTGAAAAAGCTTTTTTTATTCACATCCATAAAACTCTTGAAAAATTCAATTCCAATTAACTCAGTTCAATTGGAGATACACTTTTACCCCATTGATTTGGTCCAATTTTTGAGCTGGTAAAAAATATTGACATTGACAGATGCAAAATTGAATGAATGTAAGGTAATCAATCAACTAACATAATACAAACTAACCTCAAATATAAATTACATTTGAACCGACCAACATCAATCAGATATAATTAATGCTAATAAAAACCCAAATGAACTCAACAAGATTATCAGAGTTAATCAATTTTGCTTCCCAATTTACTTATCAATTGCACCAGAAAAAAAAGTCAACCAATTGTTTGTATCCCAGTAATTAACATAATTAACATCATTTTTTTCCTATTCAATCTTCAGTTTCTCTGATTTTCGCTGATTGATGTAAATCATTCCAAGCCATTTCAATCATCATGGCTCAGTAAATAAAGAGTTATTCATTAACAGCAATATCTTCATTCAATATCGAGTTATTTTTAGAGGAAGAAAAATGCTCAAAATTAATGATAATCTCAATTACTCCAGTAATTATCTTATGTTTATCAGTTTCTTTTGTCTCAATTATTTTCCAATTCTGACCTTTTAGGCTTCAACCGATTCCAGGTTATCAGGTTTTATCTCAATGAATTAGTCTAATAATATCAAAAAGTCAAAACTCTTTTATCGGTTCCTAAAATGTTCCTACATTGTAATTTAATCCTTTTTTTGGTAATTCATGTTAACCAGCATCAATCAAATTGGCTTTATATTCAAAGATAAAACGCAAACTAATCATCATCATCAAAATAATAATCAGTTTGATCACCATCAACATTATTATTATCATCTTTATTCATCAAGATTGATTCAAACACACAATTATTACATCTATTAATGGAGTCAACATTTGCTCGTGTTTCAACAAGTTCAGAGATTTCTGTTAATCCATCAACTAATCTGAGAGAAATAAAGATTTTTATATTTTCGTATAAATTGTATCAACAATAATCTAAACAAGAGTGACAAAAATCAAGTAATTTATACAATTATTTAGGATGATTTGGTATTAAAAATCCTTCTCATTAAAAGTTTCATTTGGAATCAACTTTAATCTCAAGTTTACCAAAAAGGATCAAATAATCCTCAATCAATGTGCAATGATAGAGATTAACTAAACACTATCAAAATACAGCAAAACAATTTAATTCAAGCTCAAAATTTGATTAATTACATTAAGAGCTATTAAATTGTATAAACAGAGTTGGAAGATTCCAATACATGAAATGTGCGAAGTTGTTTCATGTAAAGCTCATTTGTTTTGACTCTTCATTTGTAATTTTGAATCCATCTTCAAACCAAAACATCAAACCAAAAGCAACCTCAACTTACGAATACTGAGATGATTGAGTTCGAAAAAAATGGTTTCTACTTCGAATATCGCTCTTTCGCTTTGTTGGGACAATAAACTCATGATCGTCCAAAAATCTCATTTTCAGAATTCTAATTATCTATTAAGATTAGCAAAATACTTGCATTGAATTAGACACTGAAGTCAATGTTGAAGAAAATTAAACTCACCAGAATCTAACCGTTAGTATCCTTATGCACTTTTGAATACTGGACTTGAAATAACAAATTCATTTTGAAAATAAACTGAAAATGAATTTAGTTGTAATCGAAATGAAATTATAACCTAAAAATCATATGAAGCTGTACAGATAAAAGCATCTTGAACGACTCATCTTGATAGGAAAAAGCTTTATACTGTAAAATACAAGCAAATGAAGAATCATTTATTTTTCTCATAAATTGAATCTATTTTAACATTCAATCAGAATGATAGAATCGAAACTAAACAGAATTGCGATAAAAAATGAATCTTGAATCAGATCTCAGCTTTTAAACAAATACTGGATTCAATTTTGCTGGTAAAATGTATCAATTGAAACTGATATAATCTGTAGAGGTTCACAATTGAATCCAAATAAAGCAACAACTGCCATCATGACCATGATCATGAAAAGTCAGTTATTTAATCAGTTGACCAGAACAAAGTGTGGTAAAACAAAACTATTGATGGTCAATAATAACACAAAAAACAAACAGTCAAAAAAAGGTTAATCCCATGAAAAGCAAAAAACATAAGAAACCAATTTAAGGGTAAACCAGTTTTTTGGGTTAAAATTTTACATAAAATGAAATGTTTACTTTTTGTTTAGGTAACACTTTTATAACCTTTCAAAGGCATCATTGATACATTCAATTGTAAACCAGAGATGACAGTAATCAGACTAACACGATTCCCTGTCAACAGGTTATCAATAACCAACAACAGAACAACCTTTTCATCATGGAAATTATCTTGAACAAAGAAATCTGAATGAATGGAAATTTGAATGAAACCAAAAAATTGATAACTTTCATCAATTCAAGCCTCATCTTCATTACATTATAAAACCTTATTTTTTGCTACCTTTTGAAGCAAAAAAATTTACAATCACTTTTCATTGTTATCGTCAAGCCTGATTAACCCATTGAATGGTTCAATTTTGTCCAATTTCAATTTACAATTTCCATTCCACTATCAATGGCCACTGATTTGCCTGTTAATTATACACTTTAATTTGATTGTTTCACCTAAATTTTGAGTAAACATTTTAACCTAAAAATATTATTTTCCAAAAACATGAAAAAGTATTATTATAGCAAAATATAATCATAGAAAAATGGGAACAAATCTTACCAATAATCTGATTCTAATTGTTACAGTTAATTTTATTTTTACTCTTGATCAAGGTGATGATGATGATGCAAAGATGTTGATGATAAGATGAAATAACAAGTAATAAGGAACCGGAATAAAGGTTGATTCAGGTCAAGTGTAAAGATGATTTTTGTCTTAATTTTGTATCCCAATGATGAAGACATTTTTGGGTATAATGAGAAAAGGAAAGAAAACAAAAACAAATCAAATTGATGGACAAGCTATTAATTTAACCGATTGATCATTACAAATGTAACTATATTAAGGTCAAAACAATAATACAAATATTTGATTGTTTGAAGGTTTCAATTGAATTGTAAAGGCAACCGTAATTAACCTTTCATTAACACCGTTTCACCATCAATACATTTATAATTGTTATTGAAAACCTGGTCAATCTATTTTTAAAGATAAAGTGAAAAGCCAAAAAATTGAAAACCCAATTTTAACATTGAAATCAATGTTTCCAATCACCAATCATCTTGATGAGTCTATTTACTGATTGTGAGAAAATTTGACAATTAAATATCTTATAAGGTCGACAATTAAGGCTTTTAAATGTAAATTTTTGCTGGTCTTTGTGACAATTACTTGGCGATGTTTAATCTTGATTAATAGTTGATTGACATTGAAATTCAATTTTTATCTCAATCACTTGAGTAATTGATAAAGATTCAACTTCAGTTGCTGATGATCAATCTTGACCTTGTTTCAATATTTACAGACTTTAATTGAATCAAAAATGTTGATCTAATTGGTGAAATCGTTGAGTTGCCTCATTAATTAACTGTTCAACTTGGTTAAACAGGAAAGGTTGAATTAATTTTGAGCAAATCGTGATTTACTGTTAATCAAGATATTTTGATAGACAAAATGTCTAATTACTGCAAGACTGATGAGTTTAAATTAACACTTAAATCGTGATTGAATCAACGTTTTTTTGTTTAATTGCAAATGCCTTTAAAGTGGGTAAACAATAAGGTAAATGTTGTTTGTTATTACAGTTTATTAGGTTAAATTTAGTGTATAATGGTTGGATTAATAATGAGTTGGGTTACGATGAGAAATACAAATAACTATTAGATTTGTTGATATCAAATTAGCCTTTTAATAGTGTCAAACACGATTGAAAAATTTGCTTTCAACTATAAATTTCGTAAATCAATTTATAAAGTAATTAAATCGTGATTTATGTTCAAACCAAATGCCACATTTTTGACACATAATGGGTAAGATTTAATTCAATGGTTAAAGGTCACTAGTCAACTGATCAAAAGGAGACTCAATCAAGAGGAATGAAGCTTTATTAAAATCAGTGAAATCCTTAAAGTCAAGCTTCAAGACTGAGCTTCAGACAATCTCAGGCTCAGTGAGTCAAGATTATTAAAATCAGTTGAATCGTCTCAATATTTTGATCAATTTGTTGTCATTGATACAATTGTTGAGTGTAATGCTTGGTGCTAGTGAAAAGGATTTCTGGTTGTTTCTGGTTTGTGTCTAGATTTGGATGGAAAACCCAAAAATTGAAAGATTTTGTGATTTCTGGTTAAGTCATTTTTCCATTGGAAATGTTGCTCTTGACTTTTACTGACCAACTCTTGAACCCTTTCAATCTGGTTTGATTGTGTTTAAATTTGGGTGTTACAATTGATTAGAGTCAAAAGTCATTAACTTGAAAATAAAGCTTCTTGAATAATTACTGAAATTGAATGACTAAATTGAATCACTAATCTATTGACAAATGATTTTAACGATGAGACTGTAATTGTATTAGATGAAGACCTTTTTTTTGCATCAAATGTAGAGTGCAAAAATAAAGGTTAGTTACCCATTAAAGTTGAATGGGAAAGCAAATGGTTTACTTGAATTACAATGGTTGATGGTTAACAAATGGATGGTAAAAGTTGATTTGAAAGGTTGACCTAAAGTTGGTCAACAAAATTTACCGTTTCTCATGTAAATTAGGGTAACAATTAAAATGAAATGTGTTCTGTTCAATTCAATCACTTTTCAACCATTTTCATCGTTACAACTGACAATAAGGTGATACCAAAGAGTAAAGCCATTTTTCAACTTGATTTACTGGTTAATCTTGCCCTTCTCATATTAACGGCTAATATTAGTAAAACAACAATAACAATGATAATAGCAATAATGATAATGATGATGATGATATTAATAATAATCATCTACATCATCTTGATAATGATAATTAAATGTCTCTCTCTCTCTCTGACTCTCTTCAAGTGATTCTTTGTCTGATCGTGAGATGTAATGCAAAAAATGTTCAACAATTTTTTACTCATTTCATGAGATTCACTGAAATCATGGTTATCGTGACTTGTTTAGTATTTTTTACTATTTTTGTTACCTCAAGTATTAAACTACGGAAATGATCATGAAAATATTTCTCCATGTATTATTTATATTCAGATATACTCTTACCCGAGGCCTTAATTTAATACAATAACATTTTATGAATGGTTTAAGGTTACAACCGTTATGATTATTCATTTTTTTCTTGCATAAAGATCATCTTAAATCAATCAATTGGATTGTTTAAAGTTGCTGGATTAACCTTTGATTATTTGATTAGCGACCTTTACAATAGGCCAATTGTTTCAAATGTTAATCACAAAAATATCATTTACCTTTTTCATTTTACAAGTAAAGAGGATACATTTTATTGGTTTATGCCTCTAGTTTTACAATGCAATGTGAGATGAACATTGATATTACAATTCCTAAAAGTATTGAGTTAAATAAATTCAGGAATTTATCATGAATTTACATTTAAATACAAAAGAGTTGAAGTGTAAGTTTAGCTGTGAGTTTATCTGTTGAGCTATTTTCAGCGCTCCAATATTGGCGGTTAACAAGAGATCGAAATGATTATATTTGCCCTGAACTGTTAGTAATCAACTTTTGTCGCCATTTTTTTACGTTTCATTTTTTACTCCAATTTTTTTGTATTGTGTTTTTAATGTGATGTAAATTAACTAGGTGTGGATTAATATTGTGTTTGGTAGCTGGAAATTGACTTGACCGTTAAGTGATTAAAGTTATTCTGATTAGATGATCTATTGCAAGAAACTCTATAAAAACATTGACTTTACTATCTTCATCTTTATTTTTTAACATCAAGATCAACCTCATCAACATCGGTTAAACCTCACCTTAATTTTTTTAGATATATTTTCTCATCTAATTGTGAATTAAATGTAGATTTGTTAATAATTTCCATAATAATGAAATCACCTTCATCAGCAACAGAAACATCATCATCACAAAAAGTAGTTATGATTGAAAAGATGAAAACGATTGATTGTTAACACAGTAACAATTGATTTTTACTTGCTACTTGAATTTTGGCTCAATTTTGGTTTTATTTTCAGGTTAATCAAAGAAGCCTCAAGAACCCAACCCAATAATGTGCTGTTTAATTGTATTATGATTGGTGACGCTATTAATAGAGTATCCAATTCATCATTCATATTTACATGATTCATTCATGTTGTCATATTTCATCTTCAATTTCTATCTCCTCTATTCATCCCTTTGCTATTGAAATTTTAATGTGAAAACCGCTTTGTCTAAATTGTATGTGTTACATTAACTTAAAACTAATTTCTCTTTTCTTTAATTACTCTTTACAGATAAGCCACATGAAGCAAGTACACCAAATAAGCGAATCGTTTGCTACTATCGAGTTGAAGAATCATTCAGACCATATGATATCGATCCAAATCTTTGTACTCACCTAATTTATTCATATGTTGTTATCAAGGAAAATTTCGCATTCGTTGCCGGTAAAAAAGGTAATATTGGCCGTCCAAATATGCATAAAATTGATGTGGTTAATAAAAGCCATCTAAAAGCTTTCATTATTTTCCATCAATCCAACAAAGAAAGATTATTATTCCAGCCTAAATGAACAACTATTATGATTGATAGTGATAAATAAGTGATAAACCCCACCTTTTCATTTCTCAGTTTAATGCTAAAAATTGATTAGATTAGAAAAAAAAAATTTAGTAAAAGTCATCATTTTTGGTCTATTGTAATATTAATACTTTAGTGTTAACTGTATTATCCTGAAGCTATTTTAATCCATTCACATTCATCTTTAAAATTCCTATTAATCGAAGTATCTTTACAATCTGCCAAATTGTGCTGACGAGTGGGTGAATCAATGAAATATTAGCAGTTTATAGGAAACATTCACGCAAAAAATGTGTTTATGTAACAATTAGGAGCCCAATATCTGGGTTATTAGACTCTTTTTCAATACTAATTTTGAAAAACAGTTTAACCAAGTAAAACTGTAAGGCTTGCAAAATATCTTCTTTTTTACCCGCTTTTCAGGTAAAACAAGATTTACCCTGAAGCTTTTCAATACATTGATGATTACAAGCTTTTCAGTCTTTCTCATCTTCTCCATCGCCTTTTTACCTTTCCTCTTACCTCTCTCTCTCAATTGAAACCTGTTGCTGTTTGGGTTATCAGATTCATGTTATTTCGAAGTAAAAATAACAGCTAACAGTAAACTTTGCAAACTAATTATCTAACAGGGGAAAAGGTTAAACACGGAGTTGCTTGATTAGTCTTCTGTTTTATGATGAAACTTAGCCCGGTAACCCATTATAAGCACACTAAACACTATCAGTTAATCATTAGGCTCAATTACATTTGTTTACATTCCATTTCAATTGTTATTGGTTATGCAATGAATAATTATCTTCTCTCCTTGAATATAATCTTTTTTTATTAGTTATTGTTGGTAAACATTTATTTTTATGTTTACATTGATTCATGCTTTTTAGTATCGATTATGGATTCACCTTTTAACTCATAAATTTTACCCTTTTTTAATACATTCAGGTGACTTGAAATTCCTTGGTCAGCTTAAACAACGTAATCCTGATCTTAAAGTTATCGTTTCCTTGCGTCCTTCTGGTCGAGAGTTTACCTTAGAAGGATCAGGAGATCATCATGGAAATTCATCTGGTCTTGCAATTAAAACTAGACTTACCCGTAAAGTCCAAGAATTTATTCTTCGCCACGATTTGGATGGTGTTGATTTGGATTGGGAGTTTTTCCGTGACTCTAAAGAAGTTTCAACAAAGCGAGATTCACTTTTGACAATTGTTCATTTATTGAGAACAAGCTTTAGTCAGTTATCTTCAGGTAATTCAGTCAAAGATCGACTAATTACAGTTACAACCAGTAAATATCCGAGAGAGCTAACAGATAACTATGATTTTGGTAATCTTCATAAGTAAGTTAATATTTAAACCACCAACTCTTCTGTGTTGAACAGGTTTCAATCAACTAATAATGAGTTAACCTCTAAATAAGAAGTAAATCAACTTGAAATTTAATTATTGTATCACTTTTACCCATAGATATATTGATTTTGTGAGTGTCCCTGCTTACAATTATGATTCTGAAGGTAAATCAGTTAAGCATCCATCTCGACTCCATGGTATTTCAGATATGGAAAATATGGTAAGCTTTTGTCCACATATTGCGAGCAATTATCACGGTTAATTTAATTTCTTTTTCTTACAAATCAGGATTCATTGGTTGATTTAGTTTTGGCTCTTGGTCTTCCCGCTGAAAAATTGATAATGGGTGCACCAGCTCATGGTATTTTGTACAAGTTGGTCAACACGAGTCAAACAATTCCTGGATCACCTGCAATTGCTTGGAACATTAATGAGGCTATCATTTCTCACTCGAAGGTAATTATTAATTTGAAAATTATCTTTTAGACAATAATCTGCCATTGCTCAGATCTTCTATTAATCACTATGTTCTCTCATAGATTTGTGCTGTACGAGATAACTCAAATTGGACAATGATAAGGGAAAAGGATTTAACAGCACCTTATATCTATTTCAAGGATAAGTGGATTGGTTTCGACGATGAAATCAGTCTAAAGTTGAAGGTATTTTCTATTAAATCTATCTTATATCTTGCAGTCATTAACTTTTCAAAAAATAAATTTTAAATCCATTTAGACTAAATACTCAATACTTCGTGGTCTTGGTGGTATTGCTCTATGGTCAGTTAATGACGATGATCCTCAAGGTAAATGTGGATATGGTCCGTTCCCACTTTTACAAGCTATCAAGTCAGTTTTGGTTTTACCAACCGATCATATTAATCAGCCTTACAGCAGATTAACTTTTGTTAAACCAAATCGAGACAATTTTGGTATGGGAACATCATTTGTGGATGTTGTTGAAAAGTACGGTAATGTTGAAAGGATTGTGGAAGAAGATGAAAGCTCCAAGGATGAGTCAAACTCTTTACCATGCTCTGAGTCAGGTTATATGAGACATCCGAAAGATTGTTCCAGGTTTTACCGGTGCGTCCGGTATGATGATAGCTCATCTGATTCATCTTTAGTCAAATTCCAATATGGCTGTCCACAAGGTCTTCTCTTTGATGATAAATATGAAATTTGTAACTGGCCTTCTTGGTCACCTCCTTGCAACGGATCTGGTGAAATCATGGTTGTCACCAAAAAAACATTTTCATGTCCATCATATGGTTATTTCCAGGATCCAGATAATTGTGAATATTTTTACTATTGTTCAGATTTTGGTAAAGGTCATTTTCAAGGATATGAGTTTAAATGTCCTTTCGGGCTCGGTTTTGATGAAGAAAAACTTCTTTGTAACTGGAAATGGCTTGTTCGAGGTTGTGGTACTTCAGAGCCAGATGCTAATAGTGACGGATCAGCTAATTTAGACGCAATTTTGTCCAATTTCCCACCTTCATTCCTTTCTTCTGCAAGTGAATCAGCTGAAATCCATTCGAGAGGAGAAGATTTAGCTGCAAGTGAAGATGACGATTTATTAGCAAGATCAGATGATTCGGACGAAATTAAATATGTGAATGGAGCCACCAATGGTCATGGTATCCCTGCTGAGCATAGACAATTTGAGCCAGAATTACCTAAATCAAGGCGTTCTTTTGCCCGTGCTCTTAAAGAGCATGTTACTGAATTCGTCGGTAATGTTGGAAATAAAGTGAAAACATTATTCGGTGGATCAGATGGCGAT